ATTATATATTTGTGTTCTTTATTGGGTATCTCGTCAAGAAAAGGGAAGATGAATATAATAGGATATGGTTGGATCAGGTTCGTTGCTTCGTCGCTGCCGATAGTGGGTTGGCTATGATTCTGGTCGGCGGCGGCGGATCTGTAGGGTGCGGCGGGGATTGACTGCGGCAGCGCTGTGCGTGCCTTTCTTCTTTCTTCTTCTTTTATCATTTTTTGTTTTTTCCTTTAATTGAAAAAAATAAGGGATCGGTCAATAAGATCCACATGCCCTGGGTCGATGTGCTCAATTTTCTTTTTAAACAACATTTTTAAATTTTAATTTGACATGGCATGACATGTGGCAAGCCACGTCGACTAAGAGTTGACGTGGAAGCTGACGAGGCGCCATCTCAGCTCGTTGTTGACGGACGTTAACGGCATCTCCAACTCCGTCAATTTGTCTAATGGAAATGGCTATAATTGTCAAGGTAGTTTCAAATTTGTGGCTATTTCTGTGTATTTTTCAAAACTTGGCTATATTTGTCACAAAGTGTAAAGTTATGGCTATGGAAGTGAATTTTGCCTTTTATCTATTAACATATTTATGCACGTTTTTTTCTCTTCCATCGTTTTAGTGTCGCGATTCTCGTCGGGAGGAGCAACTTCTCGGCGTCTTCCTTTCATCGTTCCAGCGATGCACATGCAGTCCTTCCCGCTTCTCCGTCCGGCTGTAGCGCCGTGAATCTTATCCAACTCGAAGCTTCCCAATTTTTTTGCTTCTTTAATTATTTTTTTTGTTTATCATTTTTATTATTAGAAAGTAAACAAAATTCAAAAAAAATTTAAAAAAATTTATTCCCTGATAGTTGACGTGGTAAGTGAGGTGGACTTTGACTAACGGTCAACTCGGTTGACCGTCTAATTTCACGGTCAAAGCCGCCTTCGAGCCAAATAAGGAAATATGCTATATAGTTTAGGTCAGAATAGCAATTTTCGATATCACGGGTCAATGTAGAAAGTTTGTCTATAGTTCGGGCCAAACTAAGGTATTAACCCTATACTAAAAGTCTAAAACTATACAAACTATACAGGTTGACATTATATAAAAAGAATACTAACAATAAAAAAACTTGTATTACAAACACTACTTTCTCTCTCTAGTATTTCTCTCTCTACACAACCTGGGCGGCAATGCTCCTCTCTCCAATGGGAAGGGATGCGGCGGAAACCCGCATGAATTCTCAAATTGATTAACAATTGAAAAATAGAAAAAATGCAATTGCTATCCTGCCTCTCATTAAATGAAATTAATTAGAACTATTAGATCTAAAGTAGAAGGAAAAAAAAAAATCTACGAATCAAGATATAAAATCTCTCTGATTATGAGAGATTTAATATCCGTATATTTTAAAGCTAAAATCCACAATACAAAAAACAACATAACTTTCTACAAAATCTATGGATTCAATGAATCCACGCATTAAATCCCGTTCTCTAAACGACTCCTAAATTGAAATGAAGAAATGTGATACACTTAGTCACCTGATCCCAACCCCGGATAAGGGTTCCCAATCATAAAAAAAAATTATTACGTAATTCATTTTTACCGATTCACACTTATGTAGATATCTTACTTGAAATTTATGCTATAAACTCGGCTTATATTAAAGTCCCAACTCCTAAATGTCACGAAATTGCAGTATTTTGTGCTTGTCATTTTTAGGAACAGAGTATGTGAGGAATGTAAGCTGTGAATTACCTTTAGCGATTCCTTGCTCGCCAAGGCCCCAGCGGTGGAGAGCTAGAATGCAAGCCAACGTAGAGGAGAGAGCATCCTTGGTTAAAAATGGATGACGATGAAGAAGAGGGAGACCCCAAGATCCATCACTGAGCTGGTTCTCCAGTATCCATTTCCCACATTGAGGGAAGAAAGGAGAATCTTCTTCCATGGATGAAGTAGTAGTAGGAGCTGGAACCATGGCCATCCAGGCAGTGTCGTATGCAGACACCGAGAGACGAGCCTCATCGAACATCTTCTTGATTCGTTGTAATCTCGTCGCCGTCGAGCCATCGCAGCTCTGTAAGACACGAGAGCAACACATACACATTTTGTGTGATCAATGCAGTCAAAAAATTGCGCTTTAATACTTAATAAAAAAAAGTTTACACTTTTACACTTCCTGGTAACCAGAACGCGCGCTTCTATATAGAATCATGTTTTTTGTTAGAGACTGGTATAAGATCCAGCATAACCTTCTTCCAACAACTCGAGTTATTGGGAGCAACTGGTTCTTTACATGGTATTAGAGTTGGTTAGGCCAAGTGGTCGTGTGTTCGAATCTCCACTACCCCAATATTAGCAGTTTATTAAAGCACAAGGTATGGTAATGAGATTAAAGAGCAGAAGAATGGGAAAAGAGACCAAGTTGGTGTTGCTGAGCTCTGTGGCAGTCGGTGATACAGATTCTCTACGTTTTGCTGCAGAAGGAGGAAACGAAGGGGTGCAAGAAATGGGAGCAGAGTGTTTCTGCAAGCAAGCAAAAACCATCGCCACTCCTTGGTGCCGAAGATGGTAAGAAGAAAAGAAAAAAAAACAGAGACTTTAATTTGTAAGGTGGGATAGAGAGAGTGAGAGTGTTGGCGTCTCCACTTTTCTTCCTCTCGCCACTTTCAATATAGAAGGTTTGCCTCAACGGAATCAAGCTGAGGGATGATGCCATGGCGGCTGCTTTGGCTAACCGACGAACTCTGTTGTTGTTGACTTTAGCCTGCAACTTGGACATAAATAGCTTAAGCAGGTACCAACTTGACTCCTCTGCTGCACCAAAACAGGCTAAGAAGCTACCCTGTAACCACCAATCATGATCTGCAGCAACTGCTGACAAATAACCTACGACCCAAGTCTGTAGCAAGTTGAAATCAAACCTTTGCTTGACCCATAAGTAAGTAATATATATAAAGATTAAGACTCTAAAACTGCATTGAAACGTCAGCCTGCTACTTAAACGCCCACATGGGTTACTTATTGACAAACAAAGCTATGGCAATTGCATGATTATTTATTAGGGTTAGTAGGATTCGAGTTGTTAGTTAGCAGACTTATTCAATCAATGCGTAATCACACAAACCCATAGAAATAGGTTTCTATTAATTGGTATAAGAGTCTGGTTGCGACTAGGGATGACAATGTGGCAGGTTTGTCTAGACCATTCGCTTTCAAATATCCAAACTCGTACCTGCCACATGCTCATGCAGGGCAAGATTTTGCAAACTCATCCCATACTCGTGGGTTTCAGGTACCCATGAGTAATACCCGCTCCATACATCGAGCATTATATAATATCTAAAATTTTGCATGTAAATTCTCGCACCTACTATATTATGAAGTCAACAAAGAGACAACCTTTTTTTATATGACTCAAAGCATCTTATCCTAAAACATCCATTAATCTATAAGATAGAGTACACTGTAATCCAAATAATTATTCTCTGACTCTAACACATCTGCTAAGTAATAAGTAATAACAAACTAAAATAATATTGTTAACACGAGAGAAACGTGAAACAGTGAAGGGAGAATTGAGAAAAATTATTAATTAGGTTTTGATTTGGGTGACCACTCAATTGCATTTCTATTATTTGTATTAGTTAATAGTTACCCTCACTATCATTGATAAGTTACAATTAGATCCATTTTTATATGTGAAGAGATGGTCTTGGTGGGGCGAGTATGGGTATGGGTATGGGGCGGGGAGGCTAAAACCATACCCACCCCATGCCCAGTCAATGCGGGGATTTATTGCGTGTCTGCGTTGAGTGGGTAAGGGGCGGTCGAGTACCCGCGACCATGGGTTTGATTGTCTAATCAAAACCTAACTCATTTCCTTCAATTCTCCTTCATTCTTTCACTTTTTCTCTATTGTTAACAAGATAATTATGTTAGTTAATTGTTACTTAGTAGATGTATTAGAGTTAGAGAATAATAATTTGGAAAAGATTGTAATATATCTTATAGATTAATGGATGTTTTAGAATCATATAATTTGAATCGTATTAAGAATGCTTGTATTTTTGTTGACTTCATGATATATTAGGTTCGTAAGGAATAGTGGTTTAGGTGTTTGACTTCTTGTGCTATTAATTAATTAATAATTTCTAATTGACGATTCCGATTCACCAAAATAATCCAACAACCCGATCACCTAGGTCCTAGAGTACGGTGTACTTCAGGAATAGGCCAATTATTATCACATATATATGAGGTTTTAAGGGTTGGGGTGTAAGTATTATATCTCAAACTTAGTTTATTTCATGATCAAGATAGATATCTCACTCGAGTATTTGAAGTATCGTATATTCCAGCAGTATAACAGTTTAACCCATATATGGTAACGACTAGCGTAGTCTATAATATACAATACTCCAAATGATCTTTCGTTAGATATACTTTATTGTACTTGGACAAATCAGAATCGTACATTACTCTTTAATAAATTGGTTTCGAACGACGTTTGTGACAGTCCGTGGCTACTCGACGGTGGAGTGTTTATGGTATCCCTATATGCATTTCCACTCTGATACCATATGAAATTTCTAGGAAAATAGAATTGGTGAAAGCAAAACCCCCAGACTTTCCGCACGGTCTGCTGTTCCTTTTATATATGGCTAGGGGTGGGTTTTCGATCGGTTCGGTTTCGATCGAACCGAAATTATGAATACCGGGTCCCCGAATTCTCTCAAACCTCAAACCGAATTCTAACCAAATTATAATCCGGTTCGTTCGGTTTAAACCGAATTGTGGTTCGGTTCGGTTTGCACAAAAAACCGAATTTGAGAGGCTACTTGTATCTTCTCACTTTTAAATTATTTTTCACCCCTAATATAAACAATAAATATGCAATTATATTCATCATCAATGATAAAAATCAAACTTTTCAACACATAAGTCATAAAATATTTCAAATATTTAAGTATAAAAACAACTACAAACATAAAAAACCACCATTTAGAGCTTGTAATTATAGTATTTCGATTTTTCAGTCGGAAATTCGAAATTTCGGTTCGGTTGAAAGAACCCTGATTTCCGAAATATCCATATTTTCTTCCGAATTCCGAACCAAATAGCATTCTTTCGGTTTCGGTTTGGTTTAATTCGGTTTCGGTTCAGTTTGGTTCGGATTTACCGAACCGGTTGCCCACCCCTATATATGGCGGCTAATTCAAATTAGCCTGATAGTCCACGTGTCTACATATGATTGCAGATTACAAACTTAAACCGTGTTTAGCCTACGACTAACCCAAACATAAATGAAACGGCGTAGCATAGGTGTTTGTTCGTAAAAGAAAGACAGACAACTCGAAACGTTTCACTCTTGAAACTCCTTCGTTCTTCAGCTCTGCAATCCTTGCTTCGTCTGGATTGTCTTCTTCAACTGCTGGATAGTAAAAGCTGCTGGCAATTTCGCTCTCTCTTCTCTGTTCCTCCAATTCTGAGCAGCGACTCTTTCAACATAACTCGAATCCACCAAACTTCTACTCCGATCAGGCGAGGCAGTTACAAGAAACGCAGATGGGTTCATCAACGATGGAGTTAGCTAGATTCACGAGTCTCTCATTAGTGAATCCATCATCCTTCAGGTAGAAAAGGAGAAGCACCTTTGTCACGTCCCAAAACACTTGCTTGCAGCAATTTGGTATTCCTTCCTTCTCCTTCTCCAAAAACACCAACTTCAACACTTGCTTCCTCTCCCTCTCGATTGCTCTCTTCACCTCTTCCACCGCATCGTCCATACTGCGGTCCCCTTCATGCAGCAGCAGCAGCGACATTGCGTTTATCGTCCCTTCATCGAACTCCCTCTGCAGAAAACCATAGCAAAACCCACTCTGAAACCTTCCCCCCAAACCCACAACACTTGCTCTGAGCAATGCATAGAAATGTAGAGAGAAATTTGTCACCTGAAATCCGCTCGTGTCATTGAGAAAGCGCCCACAAGTGCTCATCCCTTCATACAGATTCTTATACTCTGGACTACTCACCATCTCCTCGGAGAGCTTTGGCCCTAGTAAGTAAAGAGATGGAAGAACAGTTGGCCCTAATGCTAATGTCACGTGTGCGTGCTTCATATATTCCTCCATTGTTGGCACCAACTTGTTCCTCGACCATTCTGCTTCTTTCAACATTGACTTCAACAATTGAACCCACTGTCACAAATAGTTAACATTACCAAATCGAAAAAATAAAAATGAGATCTCTACACTATGTCAACTAAGAGATATATTTGATGGGTGACATAGTGTAACCGAGAAAGTAAAGGAGATGAAAGAGCTTTTCAACTCACAATGTCCTTTATATGATGGGTGACATCGCGTGCTTGCCATGCCAATGCCGTGTCTCCAATCTCATGAATGGTTCTTCGGATCGCTGTGAAAAGGATCTCAACTTGCTCAGAACAGAAATATGTGCTTCCATCCACTTCCCAGCTGAGATTCATTTCAACAACATTAAGTTGAAGCTGAAGATAGAGAAGAAGAACGATAAGCAGCACTAAGAACAGCATAATGGAAGGTAACGTACTTCTCAATCAACTGAACAAGGGTTACTAATTCTTCCATCGAACCTTCAACATCGAAAAAGTCATCCACATACGTTACAAGCGTGCAGTTTTTGGCCCACGAGATGCGAGCATCAGATAGTTCAGGTGCATAGAGAGTTGCAGCAACTGCAAAGTGGCAATGGCCAAGCTTCTGCCTCGCAAATGATAGCTTGTCGAGCTTATTCTCAATAACCCACCTGTATACAAGAAGCCATAGGCGACAAATTTAAGTTTCCTGCAGGATGTTAAAGTTGCACCTCTAGGAAAGAATAGTAAACCTACATCTGACTCATAAAACAAAAAAGAGAATAGCTAACCACTTCCTAACACCTCTCTAGAAGAACTTGGAAGGATACAGAAAGAAAGATTTAAAAATAGGATAACAGAATCATAAATTTCAGTATGTATCATGTTCTATGGTAAACCTTTCAAAAACCATGCAAAACAGCAAACAGAAGAAGGAAAGTATGCAAGAAACGCACCTTCCTAGTTGCTTGAGTTCTTTCTGCTGTATCGACTGGCAGAGGTTGAAATCTTCGGCTGCCAGTTCAAGAAAAACTTTGTTCCTAATGTTTGGACAACTAGTATTGCAACCAGAACCAAAAGGAGGTAAAGCACAGTGAGCAGAAGTAACATTCTTCAAGTGGCTACTTCAGATTGAGGAAAAAGGAACGAGGTGTACCAATAGGTCTTCAAGGTCCAAGTGTTATCTATATTACTATGCTGGTCAATACTTCTCCTATGGCCTAAGCGATCCAAATCAACATGATAGGAGTATGTGAGAGCATCATGCACCTGAAATGAGATGCTGAGAAAGAGTTCGATACAAGCATTGAAAATTGATAACTTCTGCCGTGCTTTCTGGGTTTGCGCCAGAAAGGAACAATACTCTGAAGAAGACTTCTATCCCTCCCTTTTAGGCATATTATTCAATGGACGAACTGTTTTTCCTGGAAATAACAAGTGCTACTGCACTCTAATCTTTCATCAAGCACTGACCCTAAGTACATCATACATCTGTGCTGATACTTTCACCGGGTTGGTCCACATAAATTGAGCCATTGCAGAATTCCTGTTTCAGGAAATTCATGGTCCAAGAATTTAGCTCTTCCAGGATAGGTTCTTCTGGATAAATTATTTGTGAAGCTTTGTGCAACTCCAGTACAGCTGTCTTGTCGTTCAAGTATCCTTCTAGTGAATTGAAGAAACAATCTTCTGAGAATGGAGATAGCTGATCTGTAGATAATATTATGACTGCTAGTTAGACAGTAAACAATTCAACGTCATGTTATGACCAGAACACCATTTCATGAATCTGAACAGCATACCAGAAGACACATCATAGCCATAGACACGCAACAATCTGAAAGCCATGGCACAAGTGGTTGTATCTAGAAAAATCTCTTCGTCACCCTGCAACCAGCATCTGTTTATATGATAGGTGTGTCATGATTTCACTCAAAAGCTCAAACACTTTATAACGCTAGAGCGAAGCTAAATCCAACGAGGTTGTGCTTAAAATGAATCTCTCAGCTATGTAGAGTCCCAATCGAGAAGAAAATAATTGCTTACCTGTACGTCTGGTCCAGCAACATCTTCATTTCGTCGGTGAAGTGGCGAGCAACTCCCAGACCATCGAGAGTGTCTATGATCAAAAGGTGGCTGCGTATGTCCAGTGGATAGATGGTTGGAGCTAATAAGGACATAGGTAGTAGTGGTCTTCAGTAGATGTTAGCAAAAAATACAGGGCAAGGATTTAAGAGTAATTTAGTTAAGGACAGACCAGCATTCTCGAATTGGTCTAAGATGGCACAAAGATAGCGAAGGCAATCAGGATCTCGAAGATGAGAAAACGCAACTGCAGTAGTCGAAGGTGAATTAAACAGGGATCCGTTCTTCCTCTGATATTTCATGACCATATCCCAGTCTTGTGAGTGTTGGATACCTTCTGAAACATATGCCAAGTAGGCTCTCCTTCCCTTTGCGTTTCTACCGAACCCACTAATATAGGAGAGAATGAAGTGAGAGATCAAAGAGGGAAGCAACGCATACAAAGTTACAAAAAATCTGGGGGACTATACCTTGTAAGCTCCACATCTCTCTTTGTCAGCATAGCATCTCTATCTCTATTGGATCCCTCATATTTAGGATTCCAGGCTGGCTTCCCAGACTCGTAACAGACGGCTAGGAACAAACAAGAAGAGGGTCAGTAGTCTCTGCCGTTGCAGGTCCCTCTCCTTCCGTTGAAACTCTACATCAGTTGACTTGAAAGGGAGGTTCAACCCCAAATCTTGTGCATAGTCAATCATGCCAGGGAATATTATGTCAAACCCAATAGGTCCATGCTGCTTCTGATCGGCTAGGGAAGCCGAATTACAGTCGAGAAACCAGAGACCTACAACAACACAGCAGCAGTAGTTGGAGATATAAATCAGAATCGTCGATAAATCAGAATCGTCCTTCTTTTATTAAATTGATTTTCGGATTTGAGTTTAGAAAATTGCCTTGTGAGGTTTATTTGTAGGAGGTTAAGATATAATGTCATATCTCAAATTTTGTTTAGTTCATGGTCAACAGACATCTAACTAGAAATAGTTGGAGTATAGCATATATACTACATTGTTGCTATATTAGACACTAATTAGCTACCTAGCCAGCTATTACTCGACTAAACTTTGTATTGTTACTTAAAACAAAAAAACTTTGGAATGATGTCATAATTACTCGACTAAACTTGACTTATATCTCTGTGTGATTGATTGTTATGCTTATGTTATAAACTTCATGTTATTGCAGATGCAGTATTTTGTTTTGTATTTTTACGACCAGTATTGAGGAATGTGAGCTGTGTATTACCTTTAGTGACTTGTTGCTCACCGAGGCCCCAGCGCTGGAGAGCTAGAATGCAAGCCAAGGTAGAGGAGAGAGCGTCCTTGGTTAAGGATGGATGACGACGAGGAAGAGGGAGACCCCAAGATCCATCACTGAGCTGGTTGTCCAGTATCCATTTCGCACATTGAGGAAAGAAAGGAGAGTCTTCCATGGATGATGTAGGAGTTGGAACCATGGCCATCCATGCAGTGTCGTATGCAGACACCGAGAGACGAGCCTCATCAAACATCTTCTTTATTCGTTGTATTCTCGTCGAGCCATCGCAGCTCTGCAAGACAAGCAACATGAGCTTGTGACACAGTGGGTTGTGAAGGAACAATTAATATTGATATTAAGAGAAGAAAAAATGAGGAAGGGACCAAGTTGGTGTTGCTGAACTCTGTAGCAGCCAGTGATCCAGATTCTCTACATTTTGCTGCAGAAGGAGAGCAGCCGAGGGAGAAGTGGGAAGTTGAGTCAAGTTGGTTAATTTTGTTTCAAACAAACGAGTATCACTGAGGTAAATAGAAGAGGAAGGGAGCTGAACCTGGAGTTGCACCAGAAACAAGAGGAAACACAGGGGTGCAAGACATTGGAGCAGAGTGTTTCTGCAAGCAAGCAAAAGCCATCGCTGCGCCTTGGTGCTGCGGAACTGTTAAAGATGGTCAAAACTCAAAACAGAGGGAGAAACAGAGATTTCGTAAGGTGGGAGTGAGAGTGAGGGTGTTGGTGTCTCCACTTGTCTCCCTCCCCTCCTTTTAATACAAGGTTCACCTCAACGGAATAAAGCTGAGAGATGATACCCTGCCTGCTGCTTTGGCTAACAGACACACTCCGTTGTTGTTGACGTTAGCCAGCAACTTTATCTAATATTATTGAATGGAAATAAATAACTTAAGCAGGTACTAACTTGATTCCTCTGCTGCACGAAAAACAGGCTAAGAAGCTGATCCTGTAACCACCAATCCTGTTCTGCAGCAACTACTGACAAACAACCTAGTACTCCAGCCTGCAGCAAGTTTAAATTAAACCGTTGCTTGACCCAGAAGTAACTAATATAATGATTAACACTCTACACTGCATTAGTTATTTATTGACAAGCAGAGCCTCCTTTAAACTGGGGAAAAAAAAGTTTCAGATTAAAAGAAACTCTCACAGCAAACACACTCACACAACAACCTTGTTGTTCTTTAAATTTCAGCAGCACCAGACTTCAGCACTAGCTCCACCAGAATACTCAATCAGTTTGCACTTTCCCAGCTTCTCAAATTCCTCCAACTGTACTGTCTTGGTCATAATATCAGCTAGCGGATCATGTGTTCCTAAGACTCCATCTGAACCACTCCTTTCTTTGTTACATTCCCGATAAAATGAAATCCGACATCGATATGTTTACTCCTCCCATGCAGAACAAGATTCTTAGCTAACAGTAGCTTAATGGTTGAACTATTATCAGTTAGAATGCTAGTTCCATCCTCTATACTTTCCTATCGGTTCATTTCCTCCAAAATCATTCTTAACCAGATACAAAGTGCGCCACAACAGGCTGCGACAAGAAATTCAGCTTCTATGGTGGACAAACTGACTACTGGCTGCTGCTCTAAAGCTAAAGATATTGTTTCACAGTTTCACCTGCCAAAATGAACACATATTCGCTAGTGCTTTTCCTGTCATCCGTGCCACCAGAATAATCATTGTTTGTGTATCCTGCTATGTTCTCTCTGCAATCCCTTCCCATACCAGATTTCATACTCAACAGTCCCTTTCAAGTATCTCAGTACCCACTTTGCAGCTTGAAGATGACTGCTAGTTGGTGTCTCCATTTAGCTACTCAACTAGCATATTGAGAACATGATATCAGGTCCCGTTGCAGTAAGATACAACAGACTTTCTATCAGCTGCTTGTACTGTGTAGCATCAACAAGAACACCATCTCCCTGCAAGTGTCAACCGAGCTCCTGGTACAAAGATGTTCATGGCTGATTTACTTTTCATACGGGAGAACCTTTCAAGAATCTCCTTGGTGTATTTTTGCTGACAGATGAATACTCCCAAACCCTTGAAGCATTTCAACACTTAAGAAGTGCCCCACTTTCCTCAAGTCAGTCATTTCAAATTCAGTCTATATATACTGTTTAAACTCCAGAACCATCGGTTCACTACTCCTAGTATACATAAGATCAGGCTAGCTAGCACACATTGGCACCATGAGAGTAATCACCTTTTTTTATGAAATGCTATCAGAAGCAATCACTAAAGATGACGCGGGTGCATTGCATATATCATTACCCCTTAAGGAAAAAGGTGGATGGGTTCATTAACTATGGATTTGGCTACATCAACGATTTCCTCATTAGTGAATCCATCGTCCTTCAGGTAAAAAAGGTGAAGAACCTTTGTCATGTTCCAAAATAATTGCTTGCAGCATTTTGGCATTCCCTGCTCCCTCTCCAACAACACCAACTTCAACAATTGCTTCCTCTCCCTCTCGATTGCTCCTTTCACCTCTTCCGCGGCATCGTCCAAGGTCCGGTCGCCTTCAAGCAACAGCAGAGCCACTGCATTCACCTTCCCTTGCTCAAACTCCCTCTGCAGAAACCACAGTAAACCCAGTCTGAGACCATCCCCCAAACCCACATTACTTGCCTCTTGAGTTACAAATAGAGATGTAGAGAGAATTTTTTGTCACCTGACATCCTCTCCAGTCATTGAGCAGGCGCCCACAAGTGCTCATCCCTTCATACAGATTATTATACTCTGGACTACTCACCATTTCCTCCGAGAGTTTTGGCCCTACTAAGTAAAGAGCTGGAAGAACAATTGGCCCTAATGCGAATGATATGTGTGCGTTCTTCATATATTCCTCCATTGTTGGCACCCAATTGTTCCTTGCCCATTCTGCTTCTTTCAACATTGACTTCACCAATTCCACCCACTGTTAAAATAGTAAAAATTAACAAAAGGTAAAAATAAAGATTAGATCCTGAACCATGTCAAAGTATATACCCATATACTACCCTGTCCCTGGAAATTTTGTTCAGTCATGATGAACCGAAAGATGGTCTCACTAAGTTTGATGTTCAAGTAAGCGATCACCCAACATAAGAGATGTATTTGACAATGGGGAATCCTAGTGGATCAGTGTAACTGAGAAAGTAAAGGAAATGAAAGAGCTTTTCAACTGACAATGTCATTTATATGACGGGTGACATCACGTCCTTGCCGTGCCAATGCCATGCTTCCAATCTCATGAATGGAGCCTCGAATCGCTGTGAAAAGGATCTCAACTTGCTCAGAACAGAAATATGTGCTTCCGTCCACTTCCCACCTGCGATTCATTTCAGCAACGTTTAGCTGAAACTGCAGATAGAGGAGAAGAATGATAAGCAGCACTAAGAACAACATAATTGAAGGTAACTTACTTCTCAAGTAACTGAACAAGGTTTACTAATTCTTCCATGGAACCTCCAACATCGAAAAAGTCATCCACAACTGTTGTAAGCACGCCATTTTTGGCCCATGAGATGCGAGCATCAGATAGTTCAGGTGCATAGAGAGTTGAGGCAGCTGAAAAGTAGCAATAGCCCAGCTTCTGCCTCGCAAATGATAGTTTGTCCAACTTATTCTCAATTATCCACCTGTATACATGAAGCCAGAGTTCCTATAATGATAGATGACAAGCAACCTTTTAGCCATGGTTGACAAATTTAAGTTCCTTGAGGATGTTAAAGTTGAACCTCTAAGAAAGAATAGCTAACCACCTCCTAACACGTCTCTAGAAGAACTGGGAAGGATACAGAAAGAAAGATTTAAAAATAGGATAACACAATCATACATTTGAGTATGTATCATGTTCTATGATAAACCTCTAAAAAACCATGCAAACTAGCAAACAACAGAAGAAGGAAAGTACCCAAGAATCCCACCTTCCTAGTTGCTTGAGTTCTTTTTGCTGTATCAATTGGCAGAGGTTGAAGTCTTCAGCTGCCAGTTTAATAAAATCTTTGTTCCCAATGTTTGGACAACTAGTATTTGCAACCAGAACAAAAAAAAAAGGCCAAGAACAGTGAGCAAATGTAAAATTCTGCTAGTGGTACTTCAGATTGAAGAAAAAGGAACGAGGTGTACCAATAGGAGGTCTTCAAGGTCCAAGTGTTATCTATATTACTATACTGGTGAATACTTCTCCTATGGCCTAAGCGATCCAAATCAACATGGTAAGGATATGTGAGAGCATCATGCACCTGAAATGAGATGAAAGGTAGCTTAGATAGAGTTTGATTCCAGCATTGAAAATTGATTCCTTCTACCGTGCTTTCTGGGTTTGCTCCAGAAACAGAAGACAAAAAGGAGCAATACTCTGAAGGGGACTTCTATCCTTCTATTTTAATCATATATTCCATGGAAGAACTTTTTTCCCCAGAAATAACAGGTGCTACTGAACTCTAATCTTTCATCAAGCACTGCTCCTAAGTACATCATACCTTGATACTTTCACCAGGCTGGTCCACATAAATTGAGCCATTGCAAAATTCCTGTTTCAGGAAGTCCATGGTCCAAGAACTTAGTTCATCCAGGATAGGTTCTTCTGGATAAATTATTTGTGAAGCTTTGTGTAACTCCAGTACAGCTGTCTTGTCGTTCAAGTATCCTTCCAGTGAATTGAAGAAACAATCTTCTGAGAATGGAGATAGCTGATCTGCAGATAATATTATGACAGCTAGTTAGACAGTTAAAAATTCAACATCATTTTATGAGCAGAACATCATTTCATGCATCTGAACAACATACCTGAAGAGACATCATATCCATAAACACGCAACAATCTAAAAGCCATGGCACAAGTGGTTGTATCCAGAAAAATCTCTTCATCCCCCTGCAACCAGCATCTGTTTAAATGATAGGTGTGTCATGATTTCACTAAATAATTCACATATTACAACACTAGAGCTAAGCTAAATCCAATGAGGTTGTGCTTAAAGGAATCTCGATTATGTCGAGTCCCATTCAAGAAGTAAATTGCTTACCTGTATATCTGGTCCAGCAACATCTTCATTTCATTGGTGAAGTGGCGAGCGACTCCCAGACTATCAAGAGTGTCAATGATCAGAAGGCGGCTGCGTATGTCCAGTGGATATATTGTTGGAGCTAATAAGGACATACGTAAGAGTGGCCTTCAGTAGATGTTGGAAAACAAGTTGGGGGCAATGATTTTAGAGTACTGTAGTTAAGGACAGACCAGCATTCTCGAATTTGTCTAAGAGGACACAAAGATAGCGAAGGCAATCAGGATCTCGAAGATGAGAAAAAGCAACCGCAGTAGTCGAAGGTGAATTGAACAGGGATCCGTTTTTCCTCTTATATTTCATGACCATGTCCCAGTCTTGTGAGTGTTGGATACCTTCTGAAACATATGCCATGTAGGCTCTTCTTCCCTCTGTGTTTCTACCGAACCCACTAATGTCAAAAGAGAGAATGAAATGAGAGAATGAAGGGAAACAATGCACACATAATCAGCATAAGAAATTAGGTGCGGGAGTATACCTTGTAAGCTCCACATTTCTCTTAGTTAGCATAGCATCTACATCAGTTGACTTGAAAGGGAGGTTCAAACCCAAATCTTTTGCATAGTCAATCATGCCCGTGAATATTATGTCAAACCCGATAGGCATATGCTGCTTCTGATCCGTTAGGGAAGCAGAATTGCAGTCTAGAAACTGGAGGCCTACAACAACAGCACAGCAACGAGTGTGCATAAACTTCACTAACGACATGAGTTGTGTAATCTTCAAATATAGGCTATAATGTTGCTATATGAGACCCTAACTACCTATCTAGTCAACTATTACAACTACAAGTGATTGATTATTATGCTTATGCTATAAACTTAGCATACTTTATTATAGTCCCAACTGGTGAACGTCATCCAATTGCAGTATTTTTATTTTTTACAAACAGTATTTTGGTTTTCACTGACATCATAGTATGAGATTTTATATACAATCTTCACGGAAATTTTGAAAAACTCAAATTATTACAGTTTTTTAACGTAAAGTCTCGATTTTGATTAACTCTGACGATCGTAAGTTGTGTATTATTACCTTTAGTGACTTGCTGTTCACCAAGGCCCCAACGTTGGAGAGCTAGAATGCAAGCCAAGGTAGAGGAGAGAGCATCCTTGGTTGAGGATGGATTACGACGAGCGAGACCCCAAGAGCCATCACTGAGTTGGTTGTCAAGTATCCATCTAGCACACTGAGGGAAGAGAGGAGAGTCTTCCATGGATGAAGTAGGAGTTGGAACCATGGCCATCCAGGCGGTGTCGTATGCAGACACTGAGAGATGAGCCTCATCAAACATCTTCTTTATCCGTTGTATTCTCATCGAGCCGTCACAGCTCTGCAACTGGAAGACAGATGAAGATTGATTTTGCAAATGCTATGCCTATGAGCACACAAGAAGGAAGAAATAATGACGAGATTAAGAACATAAAATAAGGAAGAAACCAAGTTGGTGTTGCTGAACTCTGTGGCAAGCAGTGGTGATCCAGATTCTCTACATTTCGCTGCAGAAGAGAGCAGCCGAGGGAGAAGTTGGAACTTGAGTTAACTTGGCTAATTCGTTCCAAACAAATGAAGAGGAAGAAACAAAGAGAAGAGAAGGAAGCTGAACCTGGAATAGCAGCAGGAACAAGAGGAAACGCAGGGGTAGAAGACATGGGAGGTTGACTGCCTGCCAAGCAAACGAACATAACTTTTTTTTTTTACAGGGAAGCAGAGTGTTTCCTTACTATTGCTTCACTATGCACCATGCTCCCTGTAACAAAAAGGGTTTCAGTTATATAAGCAAAGAGAGACTCTTGGGTGGTCGAAAAACACAAATTGCAACAACCCAACACATTATCAGTCAAACCATTCGATCGAATTCCGCAACGATGATGTGGGTATTAAGAAAAACACCATACTGCCACAGATCACGTTCAAAGATGACAACTTGACGACTTCCAATCAGAATTCTGGGAAGAATAATAGACACACAGTAAGAAAAGGAAGGAAAGAGAGAAAAGGGTAGTACCCTTTTTACTGCGATGCGGAATTGCTGAAGGATAAGATCAGAGAGGGTGTTGGCGCAACTACAGCCTTCACCTTCCTCCATTTCTCTCATTCTCCATGCCCTTAAAAGCTTCGCCTCCATGGAATCAAGCTGGGGGATGATGCCCTTCCTCCTGGTTTACCTAGCCGACAAACTCCATTGTTTTATCAAATCGCATTTCCCCAGACAGACTCCTTTGTTGTTGGTTTCCGCTGCTGCGATTTCGGTCCAGTCCCGTTGGTTGGTTGGGTGGCCGGTTCCCCTCTCTAAAACAAAAATTGGGAATAAAGACGCCTTTAGTCCACTCCCGATCCTCGGCCAAGCTACACGTCACTGAAGACCAAACCCACTCTGCCGTTTTGGTTGCTGACGATGAAACCCAAAACTGAAAGTAACCCCATTTTAATATTGGGTTTCCACAGCCGTCTTCGGGGAGCCATATGTACCTGAACTTTGAATCATCGGATAGGATCATAGGATCATAGGACGATTTTTTTAAGGAAAAGGAAGCATCTTTCTGGATCCAATATTTAATTAGCTCGGATTAACTAAAAAAAGGATTAGTTTTTCGATTAACTTTCAGTTATTGAAATATAAACAGCAAAAGAACAAGAATATTCACTAGGGAATCACAGTCGTTGCCCCATTCGATGAGAGAATATTCCCCGGAACGGAACTTTCTTCCCTTCCCGGGATGTGTTATTTTTGGGTTTCGGACAGTGATTTGGGTTCCTTTTAGTGATTGCAATGGTCGGGTCGGCACGAAGCGGGTACCTCAATAGTAAATACTCATCTTTCATTCAACGCTACTATGGGGCGGGGCGGAACGGGACGGGTAATATTCGACGGGACGGGTTCAAATTGTCATCCCTAGTTTTTTTTGCTTTCCCCTACTGGGTGGGTCTTATTTGACTAGATTACCCCTTTCAGTTTCACTTAATAGTTAATTCATTATTCAATCACGGTTAATTTCACGTCGGAGAATCCGCCGGAAGCTGTACCTCCTGGTAATCCTGTTGCTTCCCCGGGGGAGGAAGCAGGTCCGTCTAATCGGACCCGTTGGCGCAGTTCGTTTTCTACGTGCTCTATTTCGTTTACAACTTCAGCAAGCCTTACTGCATCTGCAATAGTAGCCATACGTGCTATTACTCAATTTCTTTGATTTGAATTTGATGAAGTGAAGACACTTATCGAGCCTCCATTTATAGAGTGGTAGGTCGCGGTAATACAGAGGATGCAAGCGTTATCCTTATATCGTTTCTACATATGGTGAATGATACTACTTAACAATACTATTTATATGTTTTTTCCATAGATATACTGGGTTTTTACCATTAGTTCACTCGTATCACCGAGAATCAAAGTCAATGTCCTAAATCGAAATGTAAAATCAAACCCCAACAAGCTGGGGTCAAATATACTGGTTGGAACTGAGCATATACAAAATAATAGTGTTTTCAAACAAGTGTCAAAAACAAAAAAGAAATAAAGACGGAGAGGCATGAGTCCATTGATAAGAGGGGTTTTTTTATCGTGGGAAGCTCTTTGATACTTGTGCGGCCTCAAGAAGTTTATGAATTTTGAATAAATATAGACCGAATTGATATTTGGACAGAATTGGTATTTGGACCGAATCAATTTGCACAAAATGAAGTGATTGCCCGGATCTTGGTCCTCATATTTTTAGAACTACTGGATCACGGATCCCATTATTTGCTTTTGTGCGTATGAGACTGGACCGTTGCATACTCCTAATCATGGGACCATATTGTTCTCCACCTCCCTTCTTCACTGCAAATGTACTTTTGTCATTGTAACTGAGCATTGTATCTATATTCTATCGATAATATAAGGGTGACTAGTGAGTGGTTTTATGCGGAGTTGTGTGGGTTTGGAACCAACCACTACGTGGTGGATGCATGAGAAAGTAACTCACACGGTCACACCCACTCAAGCACATATTGTGAATGAGTTGGATGATTGTGAATGAGTTGGATGATTTTCAATGATAGATTGATAGGTGGTTGAGCAAGTTTGGTGGATTTACAATATAAATTCTAAATGATTACATAATTAAAATTGTCTTAAACTTAAAATGAAGAAATCTTTAAACTAAATAATGTTTAATCCATAATTCAGATGCATCACTAATTTACAATAATACTAATAATAATTATTCATATACAAATAAAAAAATCAACCCATAAACATGGTCTAAGCCGAATAATAACAAAAAAAAACTTCCAACATAAATGCAGTTAATTGTCCACGTCCTTAAGCTACAAACACTCACTAAACACTTATGAAGTCAAACAATAGAATAGCCAAACTAGAATATAAACAAGTAGAAGTTAACAAGCAATAGTAGAAGACCGCGAACATATGATATAGGTATCCCGCCATAAATATAAATTAGATTTTTCAATTATCATCAATAATCATAGTTTGAGAATATATTAATTCAAAGTTGGCTAGGAAGTAGGAACGATAACTAGTAATTTTAAAATTTTCTTATTGATTTTTTTTATATATAGAGATTTTCTTATTGAAATTGGGATAATGTTTGATGATTTTTAGGATTTCATTTTAGCTAAAACTATTTCGGGAAATTGCGGCTAATCTATTCCCCTGCCAATTGATCCCGTTCCTGATCGCTTGGTCTGGATTGGGGAGGCTTCGGGTGTGTATTCTATTAAGTCGGGGTGCCACTTAGCTTCTCAATTGCGGCGAGAGAAGGAGTTGGTGAATAAGCAAGGGGTGGTTCCTTGGGATCGTGGATTATGGAAGAGGGTCTGGTCCGCATCCTTGCCTCCGAAATTGAAGTATTTCATATGGTAACAGGTGCGTCGGGTTTTGCCGACAGGGGAGGCACTCAGCTTGAGAGGGGTGGATGGTGTGCGGGAATGTCCGGTGTGCGGGGAGGAGGAGTCTCTTGAACACCTCTTCTTCCATTGCAGGGTGGCTCAGGGGGTCTGGGGAGGGACTGGTCTTGATGGGGTTCGAGAGAGTTTTCCCCAAGATCACATGACAACTTTCTGGAGACGGTTCCTCGAACAGGATAATTTGGATTGTAAGGTTTTAATGCAGGTCGTGGCCCTGTTTTGGCGGATTTGGAAGGCGCGGAAGTGGGTGATGTTTGACTTTACTCTATACACCATACCTGTTTTGCTTTCTCAATTTCGTTTTCAGGTGGTGGAATGGGAGGTGGCGAATGAGGCTCATCAGGTCGTGGATGGTGGTGGTGGCATGACCGGCCATTTCGGGGGGTCTTAATCAGGTTCTCAGCCCGGGCCTTTGGGTGGTTCGGGTTGATGGGGTTGTGAGATGCGGGTCTCATGGTGATGGGGGTTGGGTGTTAAAGGATCCGTTGGGAAGAGTGGTGACTGCGGAGGCGAGGCTGTACGAGTTCATTGAGGATCCTTTCCTCGTGGAGCTGTTGGCTTTCCGGGATGCGATGTGATGGTGTCTTGCACGGGGCTTGACAACGATTCTTTTTGCGGGAGATGCTAAGGTCGTCATTGACAAGCTCTTGGCAAGAATGACCGATGATACCCGTGGGGGGATGATTCTCGAGGAGATGATGGTGCTTCGTCAATCCTTTGTGTATTTCTCTGTCCAGTTTGTTGGTAGGCGTTGTAATAGGGTTGCCCATTTGGTGGCATGAAAAGCCCTTTCATTGTTTCCTTCTTTAGTTGGGTTCGATTTTGTTGCTTGGTTGTTTTCGGTCATTTGAAATCCTTTGTATCTGGCTGTTTTCTCGGTAATACGAGCAATCGTTTTGATAAAAAAAAAACTATATATGTTAGAGACTTATTAGTTTTTTTTTTACAGTAAGACACTCCTTTTCATTAATTGGGTAGGGAAGCAAAAACCATGTTACAATAGGGGGGCCACAATATCTAAAATATTAATCCAATCCTGGGGCAAACAATTCCTTGCACAGGAGCGTGCAACCCAGTCTGCTTTTGTATTGAGCCTTCGACTAATGAACTCGACACGAATCTTGTTAGCTGACAAAATCAACTGTCTGATGGTCTTGATCACTGCCGCGACACGCCAGGGCCAAGGGCCAGGGCTACCTTGTACTGCACGCACCAGTCCCAGACAATCAGACTTGATCAGACATGGAGAGTTCAGTTGGATCGCGCATCTAGTACCTTCCAAGAGTGCCTTTGCTTCCGCTTCAATTGGTGAATAACAGTGTAAGGGCTCAGCCTTCCCATTACACACTTGACCATGGCAGTTTGAGATGACAATTCCATAAGCCGCCTCCTGGGAATCGTGTAAAAACGATCCATCACAGTGTAGCTCAAAAACATGAGTACCTGGCGGTGGTGTAGTGTGATCTGGGGCTGGACTAGGCTGAGGTAGAGGCTGTTGAGGTCTCCTCAGTTTAGGGCATGACATCCATTGGTTGAAACTTGCTAATGCCTGCGAGGATGTATCTGGTGGCCAAATATGCTTATTCCTGAAAATGAATTCATTTATTGCCTTCCACGTATGCCACATCTGGTAAACGATGTGCTGGATGGAGGCAATGGAATACCTTTGCTTGAGGGAGTGGATCCATACCATAATGTCAGTACTTTGCTGAGGAAGCATAAGGGATGGCCAACCCTGTCCCCAACCATCTGCTGCATGGGGGCACTCAAACAGACAGTGATGGATGGATTCCACACAAGTGTTACAAATAGGGCACAGGTTTAAAAGAGCACACTTTCGCATATGGAGCTTTTCTTTCGTAGCCATTGCTCCCCTGCTGCATTTCCAAACAAAGAACTTCATCTTTGGAGGGAGCGAAATACTCCAAAGCCACTTCCATCGCTCCTTGGTGCAGGGTGGTGGATCGTGGAAATCTCCCTGTACTCTGCGACGTTGGTTGTGGAAAGCGTGGAAAGCAGACTTAACTGTGAACTCTCCCAGCTCTGTGAATCTCCAGGCCCAAAAATCTTCCATGCTGGCTGGGCCGATTGGTGTGTTCAATACCTGATCAAGCTCCTGCTGGGGGAGGAAATCTTTTAAGACCTCGGTCTTCCATGATCTCTCCACCAAATTGATCCAGCTGTCCACTGTTGCAGGGTAAGAAGTTGGTTGGGGGGAAAAGGTTTCCTGCTCTTCCAAGGAGCCAAGGGTCCTGAAAAGTTCTGGTAGACACACCGTTGCCAATAACTCGGATAATCCCTTGTGTCAAAGACATTCTTGCTTCCCAAAGGCTGGACCAAATCCAAGAGGCCCTACCTCCTTTTTTTGCTTCCAGGAAGGTAGATCTAGGGAAATACAGCCCTTTGATCAGTCTGACCCAGATAGCATCTGGGTTGGTGAGAATTCTCCAGGCTTGCTTAGCAAGGAGAGCCAAGTTGAAATCATGAAACGGGCGAAATCCAAGCCCCCCTTCCACCTTTGGAGCATAGAGAGCACTCCCCTTAATCCAGTGAATGGACTTCTTTGTTGTGGACCCTCCCCAAAAGAATCGTTTAAGCATGGA